TCCTTTTATCTGCTGTCTTTTTCTATTTCTTGATCCCACCAATAAGGTGACGGCCCTCTTCCATTTTTTTCGTATTTGCTTAGGGCTTCAAATGCACTGTGAATACTCTCTTTGATATGGTGGTAATGCATTTCCAGGTTTTGGAAGTTCATATACTACTCTGTAATTTTTGATCCAATCTCTTCATATACAACCCCTTTACGCTTTGCTCTTCTAGAGATTTTAGGTTGTATTTCTCAGGCACAATATTGTCTTCCTGTTTTTTCATTCCATTTTCTTTTGCGGTGTTTCTGCCCGGGATAAGGATTTTTGTATTCAGGAGGTAGTGATCGCTACCACAGGTCGCTCCTCTATATGCTCTCACATCCTGGAATTTTATGTTCGAGCTCTGTTTTGCGATGTTGTAGTCAATAATCGATTTTTGTTGTCTGGTTTCATTTTTGCATGTGTATCTATGTATTTCTTTATGCTGAAAGCAACCGTTTAGCATTTTTAGGTTATTTTGTTGGCATATTGCTATGAGCCTTTCTCCATTGTTATTCGTTACATTCTCTCCAAATTTTCCAACTACCTTGTCGCTGATTTTCCTTCCTCTTCGTCCGTTAAAGTCTTCCAGCAATATTATTTCCCTTGAAGTTCCTATTTTTATGATTTAGTCACTGAGTTGTTGATAAAATGGATCCTTTATATTAACGGGCTCGTCGTCGTTCCCTCCCTATATTCCTAAGATTGTTATTTTCCTTTTGAAAATACATACATTTAGTTCGTTTATACTGCTTCCCATGAGGTTATATGTTTTCTCCATTTTCTGTGTATGAAGATCGAAACTCCTTTCTGCGCTCTGAATTCTTTTTGAACCCCGCTGAAGAAATGATCGTACTCTCCCAGATTTTCTGAGCCCTGTCCTTTCTTTTTGGTCTCTGTAGCGACAAGCAGGTCTATTTTTTGATATTTTATCTCTGATATCGCTTCATTTATTTTTCTAGAGATTCCTTGGACGTTCCATGTACCGATAATCATTGTCCGTTTCCGTTGCCTAGTTCGTCTTGGTTTTTCGGTCCTATTCCGAGGCTGTTGATTGGATCTTTTAACACTCTAAATTTTTTTCCGAGTAATGGGGAGTTAGCCCGATGCCTCAACCCCCTACCAGGAGGACCAGGTCATTTGTGCGATCAAGGTTGTCTTCCTGTAGCCTTTGATGAACCAACATCCAGCTACAAGGCAGCAGCTTGAAAGTAGGTATTCCAAAGGAAACATCACAAGAAACAAAAAAAAATCGAGAACCCCCTCTTCCCATGTATTTGACCTTGTCACTGTATGGTAAAGGCCGTGACAAGTCTGCCGTCTGCCATTGACGAGCTGCACAAACGAGGTATGTGTGTCTCATCGAATAGAGTAATGGATGTCACATCGCAGCTTTGTCGCCTAGTTGTGGAGCAGGCAAAAGAGAAGAACGACGTTAGTCCTGGTAACCTTCAAAATGATCTTTTCACTGTCACTGCCGTTTACAACATTGACCACGCGACGAGTAGTACAACGAGCAAAGGACTTGGATTTCATGGCATTCCTCCAACTTAGGATGCTCTGAAGCAACACGCTAAATGAGCAATTTATCAAGCTGCTCTATTGTGGGGACAATGTGACCAATTAGAGCAGACACCTGCATCACCCGAACACTGGGGTTGGAAGCGAGATGGTAAAGCTTGGGAGCCACGTTGGTCTACCAGAGACACCTTCTGGAAAACTTGTAACGAGTTAGCACGATGTGGATGTGCAACAAACTGCGAAAATCGGACCTGCATATGCAGACGCCACCAGTTGCCTTGCACACCCACTTGTCAAAAATGAAAGGGAAATTGCTTGAACACAAGGTAACTAACATGTTACTATTCATTCAGTAGTCATTTTCATGCGTAATTGTAACATACCTACGTAATAATTTTTCAGGAGAGAACGCCTATGGGATTTAGATCTTCAAGAAGATTAGTTTGATTAGATGATTTCATAAAATAAATATTATTTATTTAACGGTTTTAATAATTTATTATTCCGCATTTATTCATCCACTGTCACGTAAGCGCCAAATTTTGTTCAATACTTTCTTCTATAATACAGAAAAACAATTAAAAAAGCCTCGCAAACGAGTTCCAATGTTATTAATCGAGATTCTCGGCCCCTAATTAGTCGAAATCGATTCCCCACATGCAATATCCAAAAAATCAATCATTTTGCATAAACAAAAGTAAACAGTAATTATAAACAAAAAATCAAAATGGCGGCTTGGGTCAGAATGGGTCGCTATCATTCTACCCAAAAATATACAGGGTGTTCCATTTAGAAAAATGCAAGTGTTTATCATTATGATAGTTGGCACCTGTCATTTGCCCGTTTTGACATTTGCAAAAGATAATAGAGATAAAACCCTACAACTTTTGTAGGTAGGTATTTAACTTTAATTTTTTTTTTTTTGCGTTTTAGCTGTAGAAGCCGCACTAATTATAAGGAACAGACCCTGTACATTCCCCGCAAGCTCTTGGCAAGTTGAGTTAAAGAAACGTTTGGACTATGTTATAGTGTGATATTTTCACAAATAAGAGGCGATGCTCTATAAATACTTCGCGAAGCGAGACACTAGAACCAGAAAATCGATAGTGTTGCATCTGTAATAGAAACTGTACACGAGTTTCCCGTTTAAAAGAGAGCGTGAAGGACGACCGCGATTTGAAATACGAGAATTGATAAGGTGCTGTAACTGCAGCCTAGAAGGACACATCAATAAAAATTGTGAGCGACGTTCAAGTTCTAGAGACCGCGATGGAAGAAGGCTGATTTAGACATATGGAAAACGCTACCTCGCCAGTTTACTGGGACAAACGCTGGCGTCCACTGGTTCTCCAGCCACCAAACTACGGGTGCTCTCTATCCAAAAGAATCGTGAAATTTCCGTTGCGAACCTTCAGAATTAGCAAAGGAATGTGATTTGGCCGTCAACACGGGTACATCAAGATCATTAGTAAGCCCCCTAAAGATTCTATGAAGGCCGAAGACCAATACTGACGAAGATTGGTTGTGCCTGCGAGATGACTTCAATCATCAGTAAATTGGAGAGTCCAAATAGGAAAAGCATTATAGTAAATCGGACCTTTGTGCCATGGACCATGGTGCACAGTTTGCTACGTGTAGTGCACAGGTATAGGGGCCACTTCAGAGTGATATATAGCAGGTCCTATCTCTACAACAGAATCGGGAAGCAAGTAGCTCATGGTTGCTATGGACTATTTTTCAAAGTGGCTAGAAGTAGTCACAGTCTCCAATCAAAGGAGCCGTTACAGTTGCTGAAGCATTACTGGAAAGCATCATAGACAGAAAAGAGATAGCAATAAACCGATATAGTTACTGGAAATAAAGAAAACCAGACCACTCCAGTTCATCCACAATCCGACAGAATGGTCAATGGAATATTGTTTCTGGATGAACACATGCGGAACATGGAACAAACCTGTGTCCCTTCTCTTTTTCCATTAAAGAAGCTCTCCAAGCATAAATCCACCATAAATGTTGTGAACCGAAAGATAAATGAAGTTTCTCGTAGATCTCCTGTTTGGTACATCACCGGCCGATAAAGACAGCCAGCGTTGTAGCTGGAAATAGCTTAGAGGGTCCAGGTATTTTGTTTACTTTTACTGTTCAAATTTGCATTTGCAAATGCAAATATCACGTTTATTAATAAACGTTTTGCACAAAAGAATGGATGCTGATAACCCATATATAGGTCACACATAAATAGGTCACACAAAGTGATCTGTGAAATTCTCTAATTCGATTGGTAGTTAATTGATTAATGAAAAGGATAAAATAGATTCCAAAGAAAACAGTAGCGTTTATGAATAATTATTGTTGTGTGGTATATATAGTGTAACACAAAATACGTAGGTAGAACCCGTAGAAATTTCAAAGTGAGTATCTATCTTTAAAAGAAAATATGTGATGTTTGAATTCTACTACTTTTGTCCAGTCCCAATTTGCTTATTGCGTTTACTCAAAACAAATCTAACTTTAACTCGGATATGAATTTTGTTAAGTTTTTACCTGTAGTTGATTCTTAAATAGTAGGTAAGGTTTACCTATTCTATTTAATACTTGTAGGCTTGTAGTTAGGTTGGTTGCTTCTTGAGATGTTTTTGCAACATTTGGATTTGGAATTACACACGAAGGATGATTAATATTTGGCATTTGGATGTAAATGGTTATAGAAAAATGTACATGTTTTTTTACACCAAATTATTAGGATGTTACCAAAGAAAAGATTCCCAGATTATAATATCCTTTGCTAAGGAATTTCAATATATTTTAGCTCATTTTGGCCTGAGAGATGTTGATCCCAAAACTAGTAGCCTATTCCAGCGACTGTACCTGTCTTTTATGAGCCTTAAATTCAAAATTGCGCCAGTTTTGGAAAAAATTAAATAGCGAAAAGAGTCTTGGAATAAATCGCTTTTGAAAGACATTATTCAATACCTAGCTACTTATGATCCATAAGCATTGCACTCTTTTTCGCACCAATCAAACTTGAAATAAACTAGGTACAACCCTACTTACTACATATGAAGTGATTTTAAAAATTTCAATAACAATAAAAATTTTACTGGTGTGAATTATTTTTAATAAGAGAAAATGAACAACAAAGAAATAAGTTTTTCTTATACATTAGAATACCTTAATGGCAAGTTTCATCATCCCAAAATGAACTTTAGCAAAAAGAAGGAGAAATAAAGAAGCGTACTGTTTATGTCTAAGTAAAAGATGCGAAAGAAGTTTGCTTCTCTTCTGTAGTAGATGGAATAACTCTTATATCGCGTAAATATTGTATTTATATTAGAAACAAATGAATGCTCTGGCAGAAAAGTTTTAATCAAAACCATAGAATACCATATAAGAGAAGGTTATAATACTTATATGCGTGGGGATAGTTGGATGGAAATAAAACAATATTCTGTATATAAATGTATACATAATATTTAATAAAAAATAATGTTTAGGATTTTGGGAATCTTCAACTAAGGCCTCAACTAAATTTCTTAACATTATGGCACAAGATTTTTTTTTCCTTTTGGAATATAATTTTCATGCTATTCTCAATATCTTTTTTCACCCTCACATGACTTACATTATTTCAAAACTTGACCCCCCCCCCAAACCTTTTCGGTCAAATAGATTGTATGAGAAAAGAATTGTAATAAAAGGCAAACCTAACGTCACACCAACCCTCTTAAGAATTTCAAATGGCTCATGGCATCAAATTAGAGGTATTTTTATCCGTAAATGCAAACAACCAGCTTTTTCTATTTTAAGCGGTATATAAGGCAGAAGAAAAAATTCAGTTTGAAATAAAAATGCAGAAGTTGAACAAAACCAAGTTTTTTGTCATGCGAATTTCAGGGATGACCGAGGGAATGACGTTCAAGGGATTTTTTTTTTTCTGCAATTCTTCTTTCTCAGAATCTTATTTGGTTAAATTTTGGGTATTTTCCGAAAAATCTTTAATTCTGAAGGACAATGTAGGGGGAGTCAAGTTTTCGTTGGATGAACAAACAGAAACAAATTAATGCTATAATATATTATAATAGACTTGGTTCAGATTTTGATTTACACAAAAATAAATAGTTAATATCTGAGTAAAGGTGAGTTTATACAGACATATAACATAACATAACGTAACATAACATAAGAAATAAGAAGATTGGTTAACTTTTAGTTTTATGTATTATTTTATGCGCATAATCTTTTTTCGACGTCGACATTGGCCCAGTACAAAACAAAACATTCAAATCAAAATTATTTTGATTTTGCTTTGGGTTTTTGGTAATTTTTTGGAGTTCGGTATTTATTTTCGTGTTTCTGCTGAATTATTAATTAATACATTTTTTGATTGGGGGCCGATTTATTCAACTTTGATAAACTGTCAGGTATGCAATCTGACGGATAAAAACGCAATCTGTAATCCCATTGGTCGGCCAGTAATCCGCCGACCAATAGAATTATAGAACGGTTAATTTATCTAACAGATAGTTACCAGCAAGTTTATCTGAAGATGAATAAAGCGGGTTAATATAGTGTTTTCGGTAGATACCAGTACCAGCTGATTGGTTAGAAATCATTTCTTATGTTATTTTGTATCTTGTCTTATTTTATCTTATTTTTTATGTTATGTTATGTGCTGTTTACACAAACCCTGAATATGTTTATTTCTATTAATAAATTTAACCCTCTCAATCCTACGACTTTTTAAATTCATATGGCCTGGAGCCAGCAAATTCCTGTGAAAGAAAGATGTATATTTGTCACAATTAAGAAACCTGGGACAGTTATTTCTGCTTTCTAGCTAGCGGGCTTGAGCTCGTGCTTGGACACAACTAGTGGCCACTTGCTCCCATAAAGGGAGCAGGCCACATTTGAATTTATTCAACTATTTTTGTCAATAAAACTGATTTGGAAATAAATATTTAAGTTGAAAGTATACGGGGAAAGTTTTTTTTTGCGTCTTTTTTTTTGAAATCACGATAATTAATAGTGGGTATACGTTCTAAACTTGATTTCAGTCACATATCACGGTTTTAATTTTTCAAGGGGTTGAAGTTTTTTTTACTCGAATTATTGGAGACTTGATATATTAATCAAAACATGAGATTGAGCCAGCCCAAAAAGAAATTGAACTCGTAGGATTTTCATGACCTATTTGTTTTTAAATTTTAATGAGCAAGAAATCCGCCAACCAGCCAGTAGGAAATTCTTATTATTAACGGAGTATATTTTACCGATAATTATCATACGGATCGAATGGGTCAATTGTACAGGGTGGCCCATTTTCGATGTTTTAATGAACTATATCGAAAACCAGCAGAGATATCAGAAATCTGGGAGCACATTCTTGAGCTCTTTAGGCAGTTTTTCAAGTAGAATCCAGTGGCATGAACATTTTTTTCCAGATGCCACCGATTTTGGAATATTAACCAAAGTTGTATTTTTTTTTTAATGGGACACCCCGTATATTATTTTTTCATTGCATAGCTATTTTTGAGCTGATTTCAATGATTTTATAGCTTTACCTTCAATAGTTTCTGAGAAAAAAAATAAATTCCGTTTCTCCATTAAAAACAATTTTTTTTAAATCTTAAATAGTAAAGGCTTAAATATAATCGAAAACCCTGTACAGGATGTTAACGAACTGCGTCAATCGATAAATATAGGAGAAAATATGCAAACACATTGTTTTTTGCAAATTTGGCAATCTAGGAAAATTGATGCGAGCAATATCGAACTAAAATATTTCCAAGAATCAGAGGTTTTCATATTTTTCCCTTTGCAAACCACAAATTTTCCAGAAAGGGAAGCTTTTCTCGAGGTGGCAACACTGGTTAATGGCTCATTCTTCTGAATTTTGGCTTTGGCAGATCGGTAGTTTTCAAAATTTCGGAATATGCTCTTTCCCAAATACACTGATTTGACGATGTTATCTGTTTCTGCAGCAAATCCATCAAAAAATCTTGATAACACTTAATCACATTCTCCATAAATAATAAATAAATCTGAACAATCTTTGTTTGTTTAATTTAATCCTGCCGGCATTTTTATTTATTTACAGTACAGTATGTTGGATTTCAGTGGCATGCAGACACTTTAATTAAAATTGATGAAAAATATTCTTGCCTCGACTAGGATTTGAACCCGACCCTCGCATATCCAGTGCAACGCTGGTTGCCGCTGGTCTTCACAACTAACAACTTAAAATTGATGAATGATTTGACCGACAAGGTAGAAATGAAACAGGCCACGGTAGCTCAGTTTGTAGAGCATTGCACTGGATACGCGAGGGTCCTGGATTCAAATCCCAGTCGAGGCAAGAAAACTTTCAATATAAATCAAATTATATTATATTATAGTAAATTATATAACAGACGATAGAACTTTACACTAAATAATAATTTATGTTGACACTTGACAGCTTTTTCCCTTTCAATTTTTTTACGATGTTCATAGCCTTCTTATCCATACGAAAGACAACATCAGATCTGTTCGCATAGAAATCACAAACCAGCCAGAGCAAATTTCATTGGTTGAAAACAGTCAGAAAACTAGTTTCAACCATTGGAATTCATTGGGACATTTCACAAAACTAATTTTTCTTGATTGCTAGAGGTAGTAGCTAACATGTGTAGCTATTTTCAAAGTGATACAAACCACTGTGTAGAGACTATATTCAAAAATTGATAAAAATCATGACTTTTTTAGGGTTTTTAATTTTTTTAAGACACTCAGACAGTGGGACATTTCACAAAACTAATTTTTCCTGCATTTTTTTGAGTCAACTTCTAATAATGTTCTGCGGCCACCCAGTAAAAGAAAAACCTGAAAATAAAATATGTGCAGGTACACACCCTTGCGCAAAATAACAAATGGCCATCAAAAGTTGGGTTACCTTTAATCAAAAAATTAACGATTAATTAACTGTGAGCATTTGTGATTTAAATATTGTCGATAGTCAAAAATAGTTGAAGATAGGTATAGAATATTATACATGCTTAGAATTACCAGTAGAATTCAAAACTTCTGGAATATACAATGTTCCAATAAAAATATTGCTCATCTACTTGGCGACTGATTCTTGTTTGACTGCTCGCATCAATTTTACTGGGTTACCAAATTTTCCACGAACGTCTTTGTATAATTTCTCCTATATCCATAGACGCAATTCGTTGAGGGACACCTTGTATGTCAAACTTAACAAGTAATTAAAAATCTTAAATGTCATGTAGGTACCATGGTAACATAAAATATATTAGTCATATCCTTAGAGTATATGTATAAAAATAATTATGGCTAGTGCCTATATCTATATCTTATTTTTATTTTTTTGTTTTCAAAATTTGTGATAATATTTATTTGTATGCCTATGCGAAATGCCTTTGTAACTTACTTAGAGAAAAGTTATCTTGACCCTTTATTTCCTTATCTTTTAAAAGAAGATTTAGATATTTTGCGAATACAGATATCCTAATCCAATGACACGTTGATAAGAAACGTGAGAGCTAGTTAGAAGAAAAAACTTAATGATTCGCTAATTTACTCATTTATAGACCGCCAGCCAAAAAAAATAGCACAAAATTTTTTTTTAAATTTAATATATACAAAATCACGATTTTTTTTGACCAGCAAAAATTTAATCATTCGGCAGTAATTTCTGGGCGCAAATCACATAGGTACCTTGTAGTTAATTGGAAACTTTTAACCTAAATTTACTTCAGGTATTAACTCCTTCACGTTTATATATTCCGGATCAGATTTGAAAAATTCCGCCAGTTCTTTGAAAGTAGGCCGCTCACTGCTGTCGAGTGTCCAACACTGTAGCATCTTTTTGTATATGTGATCTGGACAGGCTTCAGGTTGACTTAGTCTTTCCCCTTTGTCGATCAGTGCTATTGCCTAGGAAAAAAAAATGAGATACAGATAATCTGACAAAATGATCGCAGGTGAGAAAGGAAGGTTTCAAAGTTTTTCTCAGTACTTTACCAACAGGCCCACTATCTTTTTTACGAGAGTATGAGCAGTAGGTAGATGAGAAGTTCTCAAGTAATGTTGGAGCTTGAAATTTCTTTAAAGGTGCCTTTATATAGATTATTTTTTTCAACAAATAAACCAAATATGATTTTTTTTATTTACTTTCTAGCCAATGTAGTGGAATCGTATTGGAGTATTTAAAGCACTAACCAGGTATCATGAACACAGGGTGGTCCCTTCAAATAGGAAACACCTATTTCTAGAGGAGATAAGGAAAAACCATTTCATGCTAAGGAGCTTCGGTCTCTCTTTGTGACAATAAGTTTTTTCACAGGGGTTCATAAGAATCCGGAGGTAAATGTACAAAGATAGTAAGCTTCAACCTCGGATTCAACTGCTAACTTTCTGATTTGTAAATTAGGACCCGGTTTATTAACTGTCACTTGTCAGGTAAAGCAATCTGACGGATTGAAACCCTATCTATAATGGCGTTGATCGGCCGGATAACGAGATTGGTATTTTACAGTTAGTTCGTCGGGCCATCAACAAATAAAAAATGCTTAATAAATTAAAAGTACTTCATCAGAACATTTTCAAACAAAAATATATCTAACAACAACGTAGGTAAGCTAGATAAGCTCGAAGAAATTTCGTTGTTCTCGTGGGGCGGCCGCCCTTGAATTAAAGTACATTAATCGACATTTCAAAACTAAATTTTTTTAGATGTCGTTTGCATCTTTCGCTTCGCTTACAGTGACTCAATAAACCGTTGCAGACAGTGGCGACAATAGAGGTCCCACCGCCATATGCTTTCTAATTTTAAATAGGAAGCCAAGCCTCCGCCCGCATATTCTTCCTCATTTTCAATATGAGTATATGTAAATATAGGATTTTGAAAAACCAATCAAAAATAGGACGGCAATTATCGCCACTGTGGTTTATTGAAACACTCAAAAATAGGACGGCAATTATCGCCACTGTGGTTTATTGAAACACTGACACTTTATCTATTAGGGTAATCAAACTATAGTAACATTTTTCATTAAAAGTTTATATTCTAAACTAGGACCGCTGGCGCAAGCAACTGATGGAAAATCTGATGACGTCGGAACAGTGCTAGTACACCATAAAGTTCATTCGAAAAATCTAGGCCGATACGCAATCCTATATTTTGTAGTTTGTGATATCCTTGTGCAAACTCTCAGACTGATAAGTCAGACGTTCAAGATAATCTTGGTTTTATTCAGTTATAAAAGGACTCCGCAATCTAAGGCGCAATCTGACGCGGCGAACTTCATATCGGTTATCAGAGATGGCGCCGTCTGCGGATTTAATGAAATCTCTTCATACATTTGTTTTTCGTGATTTTTTCTATGTTTAAATGTTTCGAGTTGTTATGTTATTCGGGGTTAAGACAAATCTAACAAAGCAAAAATCATAAAAATCGGTCCAGCCGTTTTCAAGTTTTAAGTTCTGTAACCAACCCGAATGTATATATAAATTTGATATATCCATTCAATAGTCTGACTGAAATCTTGCAAAATATTGTTCCTTATCGGTTGCATTCATGTATCTGCCTCAAAAATATCATAATTTGCCATATTCCCGGCGGCGTAATTACTATCTACTATTATGCAGGACCGATCTGCTTTATAAAATAGAAGGCTTTGTAATACGAAACACCGCGTTTCGTAACATTTCTAACTATACTAATGTACACCAAGCGTAAGCTCTACACCGTGGAATAGGTAGTAAATGCCGTAATCATCATTTACTACCTATACCACGATGTAGAGCTTACTCTCGCTGTACATTAGTACAGTTAGAAATAATAAGCCAAGCGGTGTTTCGTATTACAAAGCCTACTGTTTTATAGAGCAGATTGGTCCTGCATAATAGTACAGTAATTAGGCGGCCGGCCACGAGCAATTTTAGAGCTCTCCAAAGAGGAGAAACTGGGAAGGGATCCATAGATGATGTTTTAACGAGTACGATGACGTCGTTCAAGACGTATTTAGATAAAGGTGTAAGTGATAGTAGTGAAAATCCACCAATAAACTTTGACATCACGGTGAGAAAGTGCATCAAAAAATTCACAGGGATAAACAATCATAGTTAATAGACCTGATAAGCGAATATCAAAGTGATGAGGAAGCCTAGTTTTAATTTGTGTGTAGCTATATGTATATTACTTAATCATAATTATGATTACTATTATTTTAAGTTTTCATTTTTCATTAAAATCATTATTTCGAAAAACCTATAGTAAGTTATATGTATATGCACCTCTAATACCTATATTACTTGCAAAAAAAAATCCCATAAATAAAATAACATAATTTTCCTCTTCCATTGTGGAGAAAATATAAATTATTGAAGTAAATTCCACTACGTTTATCCAAGTTTCTATAAACACAAATTTTGCAAAGTCACGATAAATAATATATAAAGAAACTTAAGTTACAACAAATATGTTAACATTTGATAAAAGAGAGCACCAAATTATGAAGGTTATGAACATCTTTATTTTTAGTTTAGCTTAATTTTCAAAACTAAGAAGTAAGAAATTATATTATATTCATAGGTTAGGTTTCGATATTTATCTAGTAATTCAGTACTGCCGCATCCGCCGATTTTGCGGTCCATCTAAAACATTGATGTTTTTTTCTAGTATACATGTATTATTAAATTATATTTTTAATTAATTATAAAGTGCAAAGTACAGCACATTACATTCTAAAAGCCTGAAATCTGGGACAAAATAATGCAAAAATATAAATAATAACGAAATTTGTATTTCATGAACCTGCAGCTACCTGAACTGAAAAGAAATCTAACCATCAGAAACAATATAAAAACCATGTAGACAAGTGTCAGTTTCACGGTCAGCCGCTTACGGAACCTGGCGATGTTTTACGAAAACTTCAGCCGTAACGTAAGAAATAAAATTGAACCATTTATTACGGCTTACGGCTTAAGTCCTAAATCTTACGGTTGCACTATGAATTATTGTCCCTATTGACAGTTTACCTATTGATTTACATGGTGTTTATTTTACTCAAGTCTTACGCTTAAGTCCTACGTTACGGAAGCTCTAAATCCAGCTTTAGTATAGGCTTATTTTGATTTGATTTAAGAACAACAACAATGAAAAACCTGAGAAATAACCATTGGAAGCCAACGATAGTGAATCAAAAACAGTTAGACCCAAAAATGATAGATAATATGGGTTTGATTCAATAGTTAGGCCTCAACCTATTACGAGGAATAAAAAAAAAAAAAAACAAACGATGAGTTGCCGATTTCCTCAAGTTCTCATAGATATTGGCCATTAGAAAAGACCAACTCCTTCCGAAGAGATCAAAACACATTCCATGGTCTTGTCCCGTCGGTATGACCTGTGCCTGTGAGATTACACATCTATAATTTGAACTTTACTACAGTCGGTCCTGTACCCATGCCTCTCCCCTCTCTGCGTTGTTTAGCCACTCGGCCGGGAGCTCTGATGGTGCAATAGCAAATCGAGAACAAGAATTTAATTGTTATTTCTATCGTTTCTTTAACCATTCTTATTTTTATCCAAAAAAAATTACAAGTCCATTTTACGAGATAATAATAAAATTATTTGTAAAAATATTACATTTTTTGCAGTTTGGATTTAGGATAGTAGTATAGAAAAATAAAAACAAAAAGAAAATCCTTTTTTTTTAGTTTATTTTTGTCCTATTTTTTAATATTTCTAGAGAGGTATCAGCCGGCGTATTATCGCGTTCAAATATTTCGGATGATCCAGAAAAACTCTGCACACTCCTCACTGCTTTAATAAATAAATCTTTGCAACAAGGAGTGTTCCCAGATTGCCTCAAGACGGCTATTATTACTCCTCTGCACAAGGGAGGTGATAAGGACCAAGCGTCGAACTATCTTCCCACTCTATCCCAAATTATTGAAAGATTGGTTAAGAAAAGGCTTCTATGATTTCTGCATAAATATAATATACTAACTATCCATCAATTTGGATTTTTAACTAACAAATGTCTTCTCTAGCTTGAACAATTTGCACTCCACAGCGTCAATTTTCTGTGATTTTTTCTAAAGCATTCGACTGTGTAAGTCATAATACCCTAATAAACAAATTGCAGTATTATGGAATTCGAGGCTCTCCTCTGGAATGGTTCAAGTCATATCTTAACAACAGAAAACAGCTTATGAGGGTTGATACGACGATGTCTTCATGCAAGCCCATAGAATGTGGAGTTCCACAGGGTTCCGTGTTCGGCCAATATTATTTTTGCTGTTTATCAACGACATTGCTAGTCTAGACATCAACGGTAAAATCTGTCTTTTTGCTGATGATACTAGTTTCACTTGGAGCAACCCGGATATTGTAGCTCTTCATAGAACCATGTCCATCGACTTGTTGGCCATTGAATCATGGTGCGACTCTAACCTTCTCTGCTTCAACGCTGCGAAAACAAAAGTTATGTCACATAGAAGTACGTTGCAACCTATTGTACTTAATAACACTACTACTATGGACGTCGTTGATTCCGTAAAGTTTTTAGGCCTTATCATAGACAAATCCTTAACATGGAATTCGCACGTCGATTTTTTATACAAAAAATTAAGTTCCGCTTGCTTTGCGATAAGATCAGTTTCCAAGGAACTTAACTTGTCAACTTCTAGAACAGTCTACTTTGCCCTTTTCGAATCACATCTTCGATACGCCCTTACATTCTGGGGTTCGTGCTGTGCGACTCAATTCGAGCGTATTTTTAAATTACAAAAAAAGCTATAAGATATTCCCTAAAATTAGAAAGTAGAGCCCATTGCCAAGATTTTTTCAAAAAATATAAAATATTACCACTTCCTTCCCTTTTCATTCTAGAATCAGTCTGCCTAGTATTTCAGAAAGTCCATTGCAT